CTGTATTTTTCAGTTCTTGGATTTCCATTTCTTTTTGTTTATATGTTGGTTTTATTTTGTTTTATTAGTTTCAAAATCTCTAAGTCCCCATTTCTTTAACCTTTTTAGTCATCGTTTCTTGTATATTCTAATGTATCAACTTTAAAATTCTTATTTGCTAATTCCAACCTGTGGGTCATTTGTGAGCCTGTTTCTACTGACTAATTTTTCTATTGACTTTAGTTCACATTTTTCTGCATATATATACATATATATTTATTCTTTCTATTTATCATTATAGTTTTATAGTTATATATTTCTAATATTTGTTATCTTCTGGACCTTCTGGAGACTCTAGATTCTGTTATATTTCTCTGAAGGATATTGAATTTTGGTCTAATAATCAATCAAATTATTGACAGAATTGTAATGCCTATGCTTTTTTTTAGGATAGGTCTGTTTTGCCTTTGTTTTAGTCCCAAGGTGTATTTCTTCCTAGGACACAAACCTGGAATTTCAGTGGGAAGCCTAGGGTATTCACTGAGTCTTTCTAATTTAGTGGGATTCAAACTCTGTTCCTCTGTGATGGGCAGCAGGTGGAATATCTGCTCAGATTTTTCAGCCTTAAATTGTTGTTTTAGACCTGGACCCTTTGGAGTCTTATGCTCTTTTCAGGGATCAGCCAAAAATTTGAGGAGAGTTTATATATAGATTTTATCTCTTTCTACAGCTCCCCGCCTCCCCAACACCCTCCTATCCAGAATTTCCTCCTTTAATTTATAGCTATTCTGGCAGTTCCAAAGTCTGTTTTGTCTTCTTAGTCCAATAAGACTTGAGACTTTTTGCTTGGTTTCTAGTTACCCTGCACTACATGGAGTACAAGACCGTCAGGCAAAAAGCCATTCAAACATGAATCTTATCTAGGGTGACTGAGAAAATTTTCCTTCAGCTTCTGCCTGCTTTTGGTCACCCCTCAGTACCTTCAAGTCTTTCTCCCCAACCTCTTCGGTGGATGGTTGATAATTATCTGTAGGAGGTTTATCTAATTTGAGCTATTCTGTCATTATTAGAACTAGAACTCTCCTCACATTGGACATGTAACTTGAATGAAAAATCTTTGTTTTCTTTACCACTGAATTTTTTTTTTAACCACAGGATTATTCCTGTGGCTATATATTCTGACTAATATAGAGAGGCTGGCTATGAGAACTTTCAAGTGGACTGTTAATGGTGTCCCCTACTTCCATTTTACTCACTTATTACATAACTTTAAGATCAACACAGCTCTGGACCTGACGTTCTATAAGCAAGAATCTGCAGTGATATCCTAATGCCTGCTAAATAAAATCTGAGTTCCTTTGCTTGTCATTCAAGGTCTCCCCTCTCTGGTCCCCAGCATTCTGGTTGTCTGCCCTATGTTAGCATTAGAGTAGAAAATCACTTACGCTAGAAATTCTAAAATGTGATTTATTCTGGATTAGCTGTCCTAACACTAGGAGAACACAGTGTTTAAAAAGGATATGATCAAAAGTTTTTTAGTCTTCTAGATGAGTTCTCTTGTTTTTGTTGTGAGTGTTGTTGCTATTGTTTTAATATGAATTAAGGGATGAAACACACATTACATATTTGTATAGGTACAATTTAAATCTTTAATGTTTATACAACTGAAAATATAAATGACAGAATTATTTGAAAACTATCAAGAAATGTTTGCAACAGTCTCTCACAATTCTCCTGTCCTATTTGTAGAAGATTAAATGTTGTACCAGGAAGGAAATCATTCCACACTTGTTACAGTAACATGGATTTTTTCAAGGGTATTCATTTAAGAAAAATCCCAGCTTTTGGAAGTCTCTTTTTTTGAACACTCAGAGAAGACTTTCTAGTGTGTACATAAGACAGTGGCCATTTGTTATGCATTCTTGTATGCCCGTGACCTAAGAGACTTAGTTACATTTATTGTAAATTCACAGAAGTGGAAAGAACCTTAGACTCCATCACACCATCCCCCTGTGCAAATGTTGTGTGGCCTTGCACACATAAGAGGTTTCCCATAAATACTTGTTGAATTGAAACATTAAAATTACAGTTAGTTATTTCTTTGGATTTTAAAGTTTATTCAGTTCATTGTGAGTTATAAGTGAAATCTATGGTTTTGTATTCAGTTTCATACCTTGCAAAAAGTACATAATACCGGTTGCCAATGGAAATTCTGGCTGATAAAAAGTACATGTGCGTCACTCAAAAAATGTTCCTATGCTTCTTGTTTCCAAAGAGCACTTTTAGCATCCTGTTAGACCACCAGTAAATTATATTGCAAATTGGTGTTTAGGAAACCCTCTGGCCTTAAGGCACATAAATATTATCAGGCTTTCTGAATTCTGCTTCCAACTCTACCTTTTTGGGAACTCACTTTACCAATTCTAGCATAATTTTTTCTTGTGAGCAATAGTAATGATAATAATTGTTCCACCTGGTACTCTGTAGGGCCTTAAATTTTTATTTTAAAAGTGGGGACCTCTTCTCTAAGATACTGCACAGCATCATAAAATGCTATATTAATCAGTTACCATCTTTACCATGAATGTTGATTGGATTTATATAATTATTACACTTACCTATCTTCAGTAAGAGACCTCAGTTTTTTTGTTTTGTTTTGTTTTTTGACGGGTAAGGGGATTGTAACCCTCAGCTCGGTGTCATCTGCACCATGCTCAGCCAGTGAGCGCACCGGCCATCCCTATATAGGATCCGAACCCACGGCCTCAGCACCACCAGCACCTCACTCTCCCGAGTGAGCCACGGGGCCGGCCCGAGACCTCGGTTTTTAAAAACGGCATTAGATTGTTATAATGGTAGGGGTTTTTTTCTTTGATAGATTTCTGTATTCTATCATTGTTATTTTATTGTTATTATTACTAAGATTTACTATAAGGTTACATAGAATGTGTTCTGGAGGAAATTATTTTAATTGAGTGTTTACTGTAATTTACCTAGTAACTCTCAACCAAGGGACTGTGATAATACCAGGCTGAAGGAAATGCTTTAAAGTCTGTTCACGGGCTGGCCCGGTGGCGCACTGCTACAGTGCGCCGCTTGGGAGCGCGGCGGCGCTCCCTCCGAGGGTTCGGATCCCACATACAGACCGGTTCCCGCTCACTGGCTGAGCGAGGTGCGGATGCAGCACCGAGGGTTGCGATCCTGTTGCCGGTCCCGGTCCGGTACGGGCGCAACACTGAGGGTTGCGATCCGTTGCCGGACACGAAAAAAGACAAAATAAGGAAAAAAATAAATAAATAAATAAAGTCTGTTCACTGCTTTACAGTAATCAGTGAGACTCTTTTCCTTGTTTGCATATTTTTAATGACCCATGATTCAGTCTTCAAGCTTCTCTTTCCAATCTATGCTCACCTACTGGATGATCTCACCCAGTCTTATGGCTTAAAATAATACCCATAAGCTGATTACATCTCTAGCCCAGACCTCTTCCCAACTCTGGCCTTGGATATCTAGCTGCCAGCACCTCCAGTTGGATGCCTATCAGGCATCTCAGACTTAGCATGGCCAAGACTGAGCTAGGATGAGTCCCCATAAACCACAGGCTTCTACTGTCTTTTCCATTTTAGTTAATGGCAGCTCCATTTTTCCAGTCGTTTAGCCCAAGAGTCTTAATGACTTTTCTTCTGTCAGCAAATTCTAGCAGGTCTACCTTCAGAATACATCTAGAATCTGACCACTTCCCACCACCATCACACTGACCCAGCCCACTCTCATCCCTCCCCTTGATTATAATAGCCTCCTTCCCCTTTTCTCCCTGTTTTTGTCCTTAGTCCACTGCAATCAGTTTCCAACACAGCAGCCAGAGTACTCCTGTTAAATGTTAAATCACACCCACTGACTTCTCTGCTCAAAGCCCTCCCATCCCACTCAAGTGAAAGCCAGAGTCTTAAATATGATCTCTAAGGCCCTACCTGATGCGATTCACGCTAGCTCTTTATCATCTTTTCTTACTTTTACTCATTGGTTTCTGCTCATGTATTCTGATGTCCTTGCTGTTCCTGAGACATGCCAAGTATCTCCCAGCCTTGCCCCTACCTCATTTGCTTTTTCCTCTGTCTGGTATATTTTCTCCCCCAGATGTCTATGCAGTTAGATCGAAGAATCTTTGGGTCTTTATTTAAGAATCACCTCCCTGTCAAGCTTTTCCTAAGCTCTCTAAAATTTCAACACCCTCCACCACCTGCACCGTGATATATGCCCCTTCTCTTCATTTTTCTCCCTAGCACATATTACTGTCTAACATTTTGTCAGATTACCTTGTCTATTGTGTTTCCTCAAAATTGAATGGAAGTTAACAAGAACAGAGACTTTTGTCTGTCTTGTTCATTGCTGTATCTCTATTGCTTCTAGTAGTGCCTAGTGCCTAGTGGATATTCAGTAAATATTTTTGAATAAATAAATGAATAATAGAGCTAGGCTACAGTTCTGTATTTTGCCAGTAGATGCTGCTTTCTAAGCCTATGCTATGCTCACATCTGAAATTTTTTAGTTCTAGATTGGTTTACAGAATAAAACAGTTCAACATTTCCAGTTGTATAATTTGAAAGTCTTTGCAGTGAAATCTCATATGTAGATGGCAGGCAGGCATAGCAGGTGAGACAGCTGCACGAGGGCCTTTGTTTAGGTTGATGCTATTGTGATGTCTGAAGGAAATATGCACCATTCCCCGAATCCATACAGCTATCAAAAAATTCAAACAATGGGGTAATGTGGCTACTTCTATGAGAACCTGTTTGGAAATGAATGCAATGTTGTCATATCTAATCTAAAGTCTCAGCTGCATTAAGCTGACCATCTCCTTGTCTCTATTATCCAAAAAAACGTGTTTCCCTTTTACTTTTTTGAAGAAGAGATTTCAAGGCAGGAAAGAGGAAGTTTCGTATTCTGATTATACATATTAATATTTTATATTAGTATAATAGTCTTTATTTTGACAGTTTTAAAATTATTATTTTTATCAGGGCAACACAACTATTTATGTGCTGGAAGAAACGATTGCATCATTGACAAGATTCGAAGGAAGAATTGTCCTGCCTGCAGACTTCAGAAGTGTCTTCAAGCTGGAATGAATTTAGGAGGTAAGTTTTGTGTTTTTAGTTTAATAAAAATTGTTAATATGTAATATAGTACCACCAGGATCTATGTACTCTCAAAGTTGAAGATGAAGCTGACGTGGAGCAAAGGTTTCTAAAAATCTTATGAGTTCTATTTTCATGCCAAAACATTTTAGGAGAAAAGTATTTCTTAGCCAGAATTAAAAGGAGGTATGTCGTGTGACAATAGTCCTAGTGAATTTTTTAAGCCTGAGTTTTCTAAGTTTCAAGAACTGGGCACTTAAACAAAACCAAGACAAAAATGAATTACTTTTTATTTTATTGCCATGTCTGTTTAGAAATTAGACCTATATGTGAAAACATGACCCAAATAGAAATACATTCCTAACTTTAGGGGTAAATGTAATAAAGGAAGACCTATATGAAAAAAATTTTAAGGTATTACGGAGACTCCCCAAAACAGTGACAGAAGGAGGGTAAAAGACTAGAACCAAATGCAGAAGTATATAACATGCATGGATGGGAGGAGTCAGTGTCTTAAAGGTCTAAGTTTTGTCTAAGTTAATTTATAAATATAACACAGTCCTAAGAAAATACAATTATTTTTCTAAGTTCCTGAGAAAAATATTCTAAGTTCCTAAAGAATGGCCAGGAAAATTTTAGAAAAGACAAATAATGAGGGAACTAGCCCTACCAGGTAGGAAAACATATCGTACAACTAAAATAGTCTGTGGTGTTTGTTTATTGATTGTGGGACAGATCAACAGAAAGTCAAGAAGTAGTCTCAGATAATATGAGAATTTTATATATAATAAAGCTGGCATTTCAGGTAAGTGGGGAAAGGACAAATTAATCAATAAAAAGTAGATGGCTGAAGGAAACTCAGACATCTTCATTATCATCTGGATAACAAGAAAGTGGCATCCAAACTCTTAGTGTACCCCAGAATAAATTCTGGTGCTTCAAAGATTTAAACTTTGAAAGATAACCACAGAAGTACTAAAAGAAAACATGTATTATTTTTTTATGTTCTCCAAGTATCGAGACCTTTCTAAGTATGAAATAAACCCAGAAGCTACAAAAGTGAAAAATTGAGGAAGTCAACACTAGTTAAAAATCAAATATTACTTCAAAAACAAGTGATGCAAAACTGGAGGGAAATATTTGCAACTTTTATACAAAGGGTTAATTTCTCTCACAGATAAAGAGTTCCTACAATTACCTAAGAAAAAGAAACCAATCATTAGAAAAACAGATAAAAAATATGAACAGAACATTCACAGCTAAAAGAAATATAACTGGTTCTTGAAACACATGAAAAGATTCTACATCTAATCATAATAAAGGAAATTCAAATTATAATGTAATGAGATACAGATTTTTTTACTGATTGGCAAAGATGATACACTTTTATGACACTGTGTTATGAGAGTCTGGAAATAAAGTCAAACTCAGTGGTGAGCTCATGCATTTTAGGTGGGTATATAAATTGGTACAACCGCTGTGGACAACAATTTAGCTATTTGAATAAAATGTTAAAAGGCACATACCTTTTGACTCAACAATTCCACTTCTAAGAATTTATCCAAGTTTATTCTTGCAATGTAAGAAATATGTGCATAAAGTATTCATTGTAGCATTGTTAAATATTATAAATAGTCATCTGTTCAGAATTGATTAAATAAATTACAGAATATTCTTCAGACATTGTAGAAACAAAGTGAAGTATATGCGTACTAATATGGACTGATCCCCAAAATATTGCTTAGCAAAAAATATCAGATTGCAAAATATATTTTGTATGCTACAAGTTGTATTTCTATTTTAGAAAAAGAACATATATTGTATAGAACATTTGTGGAATGATATACAAGAAACTAGTAATGGTGGTTGTCCCAACAGAAAGGACTTGGGTAGCTGGGAGAACTAATTGTTACCATATATCCTTCTGGGCCTTTGAATTTTATATCATATTAAAAGTATGTGTTATGTAGACATATTGCCTATTTAAGAGAAATAAAATAATCCAAAAAATTAATAAAATGAGATTTCATTCTTCTTTGCTTTGATGAATGGATCAAGTGGCTGGCTAGTTGGGACTAGGGAGTAAACATGGCAGCCTGCAGAGCAGAGCAACTCCTTGAAATCAAAGAGTGTGAGCTTGGCCACAGAAGACTGCTGTGTGATAGAATGTCTCAAGTGCCTTAAACAACAGTTCACAAAGAGAGGCCCATGCTGTAGAAGAGGGCATGCTCTGGCACGAGACTGCACTTGGGTACCCGTGTTCCACCACTCTCTGACCTTGTAACCTCAGGCAAGTTACCCCTTGCCTGTGCCCCATTTTCCTTATCTTCTCCTGTCATTGATCAGCATACCTACCTCTTGGCCTGTGGCAAGGATTAAATGAGTGTGTGTGTGGCAAAAAGAAATGAGCTTCACCACGACCCACCACATATACTCCGTCAGTGCATGTGGTAGGTGTTAGTGAAGCTCATTACAGCTTCCATAGCGCTTTCACATGTTATCTCATTTTGTTTTGGTTATGGTGAGCCTCCGGTGTCCAGGGAAGTTAAGGGACTTGCCCAGGCAGTGAGATAACAAAGCTAGGTCTTGGATCTCTAGGCTCCTGGTTTGGTGTTTCTAGTGCACCACACTGCTTCCTTGTTCTGATATCCAAATCATCACAGATATGGCTCAAAAGATCACTTTATGTATAGCAATATGAGTGAGGATCAGGAGAGGTTATTAGTAATTTTAAATCTAGATGGCACAAGGGTACAGCCATTGGTTGTAAAGTAAACTCATTCTATTTTGAGTTTAAATTTAATCTATTTTGAGTTCATCATCTGAATAAAAAAGCAAAATCACATGCTAAGAAGGTACGTTTTAAAGTCTTGGTATATAATTTTTATATTGTTTTATAAATACTATATAATTAAATTTACATATATGTAAATATTTTCATAAATATGTGTATTATATAGTATTACTATATTTTTGTAATATATAGTTATTATTAGTAAATAAAGAAAAAATAGCTATACTTATAATGTTTCTCTCATACAGTTGTTTTAAGGATTGAGTTAATGATCTTTAGAACAGAATTTCTCAACCTCTGCACTATTGACATGTTGGGTTGGGTAGTTCTTTGTTATAGAGGACTGTGATGTACGTGGTACAATGTTTATCAACAACCCTGGTCTCTGCCTACTAGATGCCAGTGACAATCTACTCTCCCCTAGTTGTGACAACCAAAAATGCCTCCAAACTTTACCAAATGCCTGGGGGCATTGAGACCCATTGGTGTGGCAATAATAGTGTATAATAGTAAGCACTACTTAAGTGTTAGATATTATTTTCTACTAGATTACATATTCCATCAAGGGAGGAATTTTTGTCTGTTTTGTTCAGTTCTTTATCCTCAGTGACTAGAACACTGCCTGGCACAAAGTAGGTGTTCAATAGCTATTTGTTGAAGAGAAGAATGAACAATTGGCATTTTTGAGGGCTTGCTATGTTCTAAGCACTCTGCTAATAAGCCTTTTATATGTGTCATCCCATTTAACCCTCATAGCAACACTGTGAGATACGAACTCTTAATATGTCCATTTTACAAGTGAGTAAATGGAAGCACAGAATGATTAAAGAGATAGCCCAAAGCCATACAGCCAGAGAGTGGGAAAGTCGTAACTCAGATCTCTGTTCCTGGCACCACAGCCCATGCCCATCAGCCCTTTGCCATACACAGGTCCAGTGTAAGTAGATCGGCTCAGATTATCTATTAGTGGCAGCAGTGGCCTTTAACTAGACACAAGTGAAAAAACAGGTGTTTTGCTTGTGTCTACAATTACCTGTAAGTGAGGTTTGGCACAGTACATAATACAAAATTTATGTAATTTGTTATCAGTTTCTGTATATATAGGATAGGTTTTGTGGTTTTGGGTTTAAAAAAAAAAATTTACGGGCCAGCCCAGTGGCGCACTGCTACAGTGCATCACTTGGGAGCGCGGTGGCGCTCCCGCCGAGGGTTCGGATCCCACATACAGACCGGTTCCCGCTCACTGGCTGAGCGAGGTGTGGGAGCAACACTGAGGGTTGTGATCCGTTGCCGGACACGAAAAAAGACCAAAAGGAAAAAAAAAAAAAAGATTTTAACAAAGAGTTTACTTTGATACTTGAGTTCATCGAAAGTAGAGAGTCAACAATGGCCAGAATGGAAATTAATATTAGTGAAAGTAATATTTTCTTTAGATTCAAGTTATAATTTAACCGCTTCTGGTTTATGAATTAAATGATTGACTTTTGCTAAGTGTCCAGTTGTGGTAATGTACATTGTCATTTTTTCTTTCATAATTTCTTTTGAAGCCTTGCTTTTAGTTTCTATTTGGGAAAAAGAAAAACAGTTTTATTATATTTTTAAAAAGATAATGTGAAGTTTAGATTGAATGTGAACCAGTTTCTAAAATTAAAAATGTGAATTAAATTAAAACCTTTTTATATGTGTTCCAATCTCACCACTGTCTCCCTAGCAAAGTCTGTCTGTCCACTCTCCTTTTAAGCACCCTCTTCCCTACTACCTCTTTTGGGAGATAAGGCAGATGGCAACATGGTATATAATATTTGGAAGACCTTTTTTTGTTACCAAATGATCATGACTCCAGGAACAAAATTCAAAATACTTTACAATAATTTTTTTTCTTATTCTATCAGTTGGTTACCATGCAGTTCAAACCATGTCCCCAAAGTAGCCTTTCCCTTAGAAAGTGGAAGGAAGGAAGAGAAAAGAGTATGTAGATTTGTATTTCTCAGAAATTAAAGCCGTAAAATGTACCTCTTCCCTTTTGTCTAGACCTACTCCCTCCCTCCTGCCACAAGTACTATTCCTTTTCTTTAAAATCCTTCTGGGCTTTAGGCTGCATGCAAAGGAAAATACAGCAGAAGATGTGAGAATGTTAACAGAGAAATCGAAAGGAAAATAACAGCTGTTTTGGCCCCAAGCTGAGCCTGCCAGTCCTGCTATAGCC